ATGGTTTCTCTAAAGAATGACAGAGACATAGATTGCCCCAGCTGAGCACATGGCCAGAGGCAGCTGCTCTGAAGAGATTCAAGCCCATCCCTCAACCCTGGTAATGGATCAAACCATGTCCCTGGACCAATCCTTCCCACACCAGAAGAAAAGCGGTGTTTCCTGGTGGCTTGGAAAGCAGGCTCCGCTCCTTCCAGCAGGGCCAGCACATACAGCGCAAGGGGAACAACCAGAGCCTCATCAGTGGCAATGCTCACCCAGCACGCACCGTAGACATACGGTCATGATGACCATTTCCTGGAAGGGCTGGTAAAGTTTCTTGTTCTAACAAATTCTGTATTTTATAATAATAGTCTAACAAACAGAAATCACATGTCTTAAGGAAAGGCCCCATTCCCTAATTCACACAAATCTGCCCTATGGGCTTGTGGTGGTAAGCTAGCTCTGATCGCATCTCCCTCTTGAACTATAATGGAACCTAGATTCCAACCACCTGCTGTGATTGTACTTGGCTTCCTCATGGCTCAAGTGCATTCTGTTAAACCTGTTTCAAGCAGTTAACACTTTCTCTTTTCTCCTATTCCATCTGACTCCATCTTTCCTACCTGGCTCATCCAAGACTTGGTTCTACCAACACTCTTCTAACTCACAGCAGGTCACTTTTCCTGGTTCATCTTATTTTTCCAAAATTCAGACATCGCTCTGGGATTGTCCATTGTAGAAACATCTCGGGATCCCAGGATCCAAAAAGATAGAAGGCCTCCAACCAGCAACTATATACGGAACCCTCCCTATTCTGCCATATCTTTCTGGAATGGTTCCAGGGGCCTCCTAAACATCAATCCTTAAAACGATTAACATATATTGCTCACCTAGAAATATAAATCACTCTGAGTCATAGTTGGCTCCAGTTCCTTCAAAAGTCAGCCAGAGGGTCAATTTAGACTCTAATTAAATTGCCACCACAGAAGTACCACTACAGAATTAACTCTAAAGTAGCATGTAGTTTCGCCCTCAAAGAGGGTTCTCACTCTGTTCTAGAAGAACTGTCTGTAAAGCCTAGAAAAACACTGTGCAGAAAGGATACAAATCTATTTCAGGAAGGTGGCTACCTCTGCAGAAGAAAGCCCAGCGGGGGCTAGAGCAGGAGGTGAGCTGTCCTCTGTACCAATGTATTTCTTTTGAACAAAATCTCAAACGAGAATGGCAGAATGTTCCCATCTCTTCAATGTGTGTGGTGAGGAGAGGAGATCTGTTATGTTACCTTCTGCTCTTTGAATGTTTGAAATATTCCATAATTTACACTTTAAAATGTAAAAAGGACACGTTTTGCGCACTTTGGCGAAGACCACATGCTAATTATTCCTGAGAGAAGCTCGAGGACATTCCATGATGAACGCAAAGTAATCATGTTCTGACCTGGCCGGACCTCAACCTCGAGGTAAAGTGACTGAATAAAGCCTCTGGTGAGCCTTGGAGGTGCCCCACCTGCAGCTGGCCAAGGGCAGTGCCAAGGCTGGGGCAGCACACAGTGGACCCACGGGGGTGGATGTGGCCCTCCATCCCAGCTTTTGCTTCCCACACTCCACCCCCGTTGTTAAAATTTCCACCGGTCTCTGTTTCCTGCCCTTCTGGAAGGAGGCGTGTTTTCAACGACGTATCCATTCTGCCACCTAGCCTTCATCCGCGTCATTACAACGAGGCCGCTTGAACTCCTCTCTCAACCTGGCTGAACTTCCCTGGTCTGGGGCCCACCTGAGAGACCAGGTACTTCATTTCCTGACGGTCACCGCACCTTGCCTCGGGGCCAGGAGGAGGCGGAGCCTTAGTATGCCTGCTGCGTGCTGGCCTCTGAGAAAGGGACTGATTCCCTCTCAGAAAGTCTATAAAACAGAACAATTACTGTGGAAAATGGCAGGTGAATCTGCCTGCGAGTGGGGAGAGCAATGAAGACACAACCCCTCGGCGACATTTTCCCTTTCGGAGCAGAGAAACCCATGAGATTTTATGTACTATGAAAAGTCCAGCATTCCCCATCCGTTATTAGGCGTCACCCTTGCCTTGAAAAGGATCAGACGGAAGGACTCACTTCATGAAATAAAAGTGTTCCGTGCCCTTTGAAAAGTTGTACGTATAAAAGCACGAATCTTTTACTTGGTTACATCTCTCGCAATTTGGTTCTGATATCCAGTTAATGCTTTAAAGGAATGTGGAGGGCTGCTCTCTGGGGAGCGGCACGCAAGTGGATGATATTTAACTTCTTCTCCAAGGAAAATGTGCTCGAAAGACACCAAAACTCGAATATGCCCGATTTGGGATGCAGGAGTTGAGAACTCCTGGCTCTGCAGGGGGAGGGAACCTGGCCTCTGGCATGTGCTTCTAATGGGAATAAGTGAGCCCCGCCCAATCAGGTTCCTGGATGCAAGCTGTTTTTTCCAGAAGCAACCTGCTGAAGGTGAGCGTGGGCAGACCCAGGCCTTCAGGATGGAAGGCAGGGGAATGAAATCAAGAAAGGCTCTTGAGCATCCATCCCCCAAATCTGTCTTCCCGTGACGGAACTTCCCATCCCACTGTCATACATTAATTACAAACTTGTAGAAGCAAACCCATCTAATCAGTAGTATCCCACCTGCGGACAAAATTACTTTAAACAATCCCAGGCTACTAAGAATTCTTTCGCATGCCCTCCCAGAGTGCTGACCTGAGAGTCCCCTGGATGGTAGTTCAATTCCCATCAGCTCTCAACCCCTCATAACTAAGCCCACTTCTAAGTCCGGATACAGCATGGGCACTTACCGGTTACATTCCCGCAGAGTCCCTTCTCTCCATGGTCCCCTCTGCACCCTAGCCCAAGGACCAGCTCCTGCCACAACCTCCCCTTCCGTCTCCCTACCCTTGAAATCTTCTCTATGAATCATCCCCTCTTCTCTTTACCTGTCCTCATACATTTTATTTTCCAGCCACTGGAAGCCAGCTAGACAAAAAACTTGTCACTGGAGGCTGTCTTTCACAGAACAGAGGGTGCCTGGGACCAGGCAACGTATGCTTCTCTGCAAGTAGCACCACAATTTCCTCATTCGTCTTCAATGCTACCAGTGTGCCTGGGGTGGGCTTCCCTGCCCTGTTGGTGCAGAAACAGGAGCAGGGCCGGGACACACAGCACGCTGTTCGGCCACTCTTCTAGTCTGAACTTGTCACAAAAAAGAAAATAACACATGGCCACCCTCACTCCTCAAATATTTCAACCCAATTCCCCCCCCTAACTTACCAAGCCCCTATGCTGAGGGGAGAAGAAATGACAAAGAGCCACCATGTTTTTTTCTTTTTTCTTTTTTTTCTCAATCATTCCACAGGGCTCCTTCTCCCTCACCCAGCTAACATCTAAAACCCCTCTGGCAATACAAGTGAAAGCAGGACTTTAAACTTCAGCCTGGTTTTTTTAAAGATGTGCCTTTAGGCAAGTAGATAGTAAGAAGAGATCAGAATCTGGGAGTGTTAACAGCACGGAGAGAATTGCTCCTGACCCAAACCAGCAAGAGAAATATTTTCTTAAAAGCAGTCCTGCAGAAAGAATTCTTATCATAGATAAGGGTGCAGTCTAGTGGCAAACTTCGTGAAATGCAGCCCCTTCTCCCAAGGAAAGTTAGAGCAGGAATAAAGGGAGATGTGAAGAGGTAACACTCCCACTCTCGTTTCTCCCAAATGGGCAGCCAAGACGGGTCATGTCTCTTTGACCTGGTTGTGAGGGCCACAACCTGTCCGTGTCGCTTTCAGAAAAAAAACTAAAATCTTCACGGTCCTTCTTTTAACACTTTAGCTTTCTTTTATTTTGCTAAGGAGAGGAGTCCTCAGTGTATAGATTATCCGAGGTCTCCAATGGGGTAATAATGTTCCCGATCAGAATCTCTTTGGAGCAAGTTCCTGTGACCTGTCAGCTCATATTCTTGGAACGTGTATGTCTGTGCTAATTAACCTTATAACAAGCTGTCTGTCTGGACTGTCACCCGTTCCCTCCAAAGATGTGGCCCTGCCCAATAGAAATGCTCCTTTAAAAGAACGTGAAGGGAAGCATTACTCCAATCTGCCTTCGTTCCATCTAAAAATCCCACCCCAGGACATTTGAGATAGCCAGGCAAGATTTTCAGACTGAGCATTTCCTCCAAGTGCAGCCTTTGTAACTCACTGCTCCCTATAATGCCCTGGTCTGAATGCCCCTTCCTGCAAGTATACCACATGCACACCCACCCACAACTTCCCTGGGCCAGCAGTGTAGCAGTAGGAAAGTGGCCACGTCTTGCTTGACTACATGCCGATAGACAGTCACTCCACCAGCAACAGAAACTCTTGATTAAATCCCCTTCCCCAGGCTTTTAGGGGGAAATCCAGGTTTTCTTCTCTTTAATTCAGCTCACCACCCATCCATGGCCATCCTACACTAACAATGCCCCCCCCCCCCCAGCACACACACACACACACACACACACACACACACCTTTACATGGTAACTTAGACACTAGCACACAGCCCTTTACCAAAGTTTGGGAAGAATTTCTTGGGCACCGTATATATCCAGTTGGCTAATTAAAAAAAAAAAAAAAAATGCTTCTCCCTCTAGCCTGGGTCTGGGCTAGTTAAGGGGTAGGAGGGAGGGGGAGACTAAGTTACTCCTCATTGTGTCCACAGAGCACCGAAGAACTCTCACCCCCAGGCCCCCCACCTCCTCCCCCCTCGGGCAGCCCCAGCCCTGTTCCCCTTGCCCCTTTCTTACATTCCGGGGGGAGGAGGGCGCTGTTCGAGCGAAGGGGAGCCCCTGTGTGTCTCGAAGGCCTCTCCCCACCCCCACCCCCACCCCGTGTGAGTTCGTACTGCAAAGCTCCTTGGCATCCTTGCCTGGGTTGGGTGTTGGGGAGCTCAAATTGCAGATACAAACTGGCTGGCAGCCAGGGCCTTCTATTTAAAAGCGCCTGCTCGACCGGAGCCGGTAGTCTCTTTGGAAACTTCTGCGGGGGAAAAGAGCTAGGAAAACTGCAAAGCGGTGTGGGCTTTTTCCTCTTTTTTGCTCCTTCTAATTACCCTCTCCTCCGCTTGCATCCTTCTCCGGGCTTCACGCCGAACCTGCGAATTTCGAAGAGGTGGTTGGAGAGTGGGAGAAAAGAGGTGTTAGGGTTTTGGATTTGAGTGTTTTTTTGGTTGTTATTGTTTTGTTTTTTCTTGATTTCAACAGTTTCCCTACCCTTGCGCCTGCAGCTGCCGCTTTCTACCTGTTCCGCGGCAGCAGCGCGCCGCTAGCCGCTGGCGGTTAGAAAGGAGCAGGGTGTACTTTAGATTTTAAACAAAATTTTTGAAGACAAATCCACTTTTCTCCCCCCACCCCGTCTCCTCCACAGCCTCCGAGCTCTTTATTCGGTGGTTGCTTTGGGGTGGACAATTTTTGGCTTTTCCCCCTGCAGTTCTGACCAGGTCCGGCTTGGGGGTTGTTTGTCCAGCCCCACACCCAGGGCGTGCACCTGGCGCTGCTCTTTTGCCCCCAACCTGTTGCAAGTCTTTCATCCTTGTAACTGGGACTTGCTTGCAGGCACCCCAGCCCTCTAACTCTCCCCACATTTTGCAATTGTCTGGGCGAGGGCACCTGCCGGCTCCCTCCTGGCCGCTTTCTCCCTGCTCTCTCGCTCTCCTGCCCCGCCCCAAGGTAAAGGGAGAGATTTGAAGATGGTGCTCACCGCTGTCCTACTGCTGTTGGCTGCCTTTGCGGGGCCGGCCCAGGGTCTGGGCTCCTTCGTGCACTGCGAACCCTGCGACGAGAAAGCCCTCTCCATGTGCCCCCCTAGCCCCCTGGGCTGCGAGCTAGTCAAGGAGCCCGGCTGCGGCTGCTGCATGACTTGCGCCCTGGCCGAGGGACAGTCGTGCGGCGTCTACACTGAGCGCTGCGCCCAGGGGCTGCGCTGCCTCCCCAGGCAGGACGAGGAGAAACCGCTGCACGCCCTGCTGCACGGCCGCGGGGTTTGCCTGAACGAAAAGAGCTACCGCGAGCAAGTCAAGATCGGTGAGCGCGCTCAGTGTGCCAGTCAGTTACACGGCGCACGGGAGGGGGACGGGACGGGCGGGCCACGCGCGCTTTGCCCAGAAAGTGGCTTAGAGCCGGCGTGCGGCCCGGGAGGAGGGCGGGGAGGGTCTTTGCTCCTAGGAATTGGAGCCCTGGCTGATCCAACTACCCTTGGCTGCTGTCTATCCGAGCCTCTCGCGGTCTTTGCTCCAGCTCCAAGCCATGCTCCCACCCTACTCCACCCCAGCTCTCCCCCCTCGTCTGAATACTGACTCAGCTCCTATTAGGTCTCAAGGTCCAAATTCCCAAGTACTCAATCTCCAGACTGAAAGGGTGCATGTTTCATTATCAACTCCCTCCTTCACCACTTCCTAGCTACCCAACACCTGTTTTTATTTCTGAAGTAAAAAAAAAAAAAAATTTCTTTGTTAAAATATTGATTTAACTGGGGACCTGGAAAGAGAGGCGTTCTGTGCCCTTTTCACCTTTGTCCACCCTAGCCCCTACCCTCCTACCAGTCCCTTCTGACGTTTCTATCCTACCCCAATACACGCGCGCGCCCCCCCCACCCCCCCCCACACACACACACACACGCATCCTTGGTAGCTAATGCCTTTTGGGTGAGGACTTTGATGCCCCACCTACGTGCACACCCATTACTTTTGATTTGATATGATTGATTGTGGTAGCTGGTAAAACAGATTAAAATGCAAAATACATTTTTCCTCCCAAGAAGGGAAAGATTACTTTAGGCACGCAAGGTGGGGTCGGGGAGGTCAGTGGGGTGGGTAGAAAGGAAGCGTTTGGTGTTCCTGTGCTGGATGTTCGTCCCTGAATCTAATTACTTTTACCTCTCCCAAATTTAGATTTTACCTAGGACGAAAGGTGGATGGATATATAGGGTCGGGAGGCAAGAGGGAACGTGAAATTTAGAACTCATAACTTCCCGGGCAGTACTAATCCCCTCCGCCCCCATCTCTCAAACCTGACCACTAGTGGGTGTGGTGTAAATATAAGAGGGGCCCTGGAAACATAGAATGCAAAATAAAAGGGGCGGAGACTGGAAGGACCACGCCCCTGTGCCGCCCCTCCGCCTTCCAGTAGCCCCGCCCCCGGGTTGCCCTGCCCCCAAATTCTCAGCGCCAGAAGTCTAGGGTTTAAAAGGTTGACTGAGCTGCTTGTTAATGAGAACAGTTCTGCCCGCTTTAGACCTGAGTTTCTTTTTGGAGAGTTACCTGATCTTAAGTTTTTTTAAAAATATTTTAATGACATATACACAAAAATCTGCATTCTGAGAAGTCAAACTGATTATTGATTCTCTCCAAAATGGATTAAGACTTGGCTAAATAATATTTATTCTTCGTAGTAACTCTTACTCTTGCATCCCCTTCCACTATGAGCACCCCAACATGAGTTTTCTTAAACTGAAACCTACAGACACTATCGCATAGGAAAGAAGTGCGTCAGTGCTTGAGAGAGTTTTACTAGGTTCAAACCAGATCTTCCAAAATCCTGCAGGTTTTGCGTTACAAGCGGCCGCCTCTCCAGCTTTGCAAGAGGTAGTCTCACTCCGTACTGCAGCCTGCAAAAAAGAGACGAAGAGCAACCTGCAGACCCCGGAGGCCCCAGAGGCCAGTTTGTGGAGTTACTTTTATTAAGAACCACTTTTTAAAGGCCGTCCCGCCCGAGTTCATCGTGGGGGATGTGGACTTGGAAAAAGCTTAGGGAGGGGAGGGGCGGGTAAGAGGAATGAATCGACTTCCTGGCTTGGAAGTGAGCGCTCTGGTTAACTCTCCTGTCACATCGAAAGTATGCCAGGTATCACTCAGCGGCATTCTGGCCCCACTTTTATTTGCCCAACAGAATGGTTGGTGTGATGGGGTAGCCATGGTGTGTGTGCGCGCGCGAAATTGCAGGGAGAACAAATAGGCGAATCCAACTTAGAGAGAGAGAGAGAGAGAGAGAGAGAGAGAGAGAGAGAGAGAGAGAGAAAGGCTTTTGTCCCAAGCAAGATGCCCTTTAGATTTCTCTGCAGCCTCTTCCTCAACTCCCACCTTCAAGGTACCCCGGTACTTCTGGGGCAATACACAGATGCCTCTCTGCCTCCTCCCCACCCCGCCCCTTCTCACCGACTCCACCCCGCCTAGGCAGGTTCCTAACCCACTGAGATCGCGGGGCGGCTGCGTTCTACCTGTGGCCGGGGCTGATGCCTTCCTCCAGGACCGATGAGATGGGAGTGGGCGCTCCTGGCTATAGATTTTTCAACTTGAAAACCGTTGGGTGGGTCCCCAAAAAGTTGGAGATGGCTCAGAGGCATTTCTTAAAGAGTGGGAAATGAACAAAGAGATAACGGAGAGCATCAACTCCTTTGACCAAAATTCCTGTTCCCCAGCACACACCAACACCACTCCCCCCCCCAAAAAAACCCAGCAGTGCTAACTTGAGTGAGCCCCTCCCTTCCGCGGTTTCCATATAAATATAAAGGTATAGATCACACACACACACACACACACCAAAAAACATATGCATATAGAGAGATAGATCTATATCTTTTGTCAATCTCCCCCAAAGGATGCATTTTTGAATTAGTAATGGGGAGCTGTGGAGAGCGAGGTGGCAGGCAGCCAAAGCTTCTGGGAGGAAGAGCGGAGGGCGGAGGGTGAGCCGGCGGGCGGGCGGAGGACTGGTGTTTTGCAGCGCGCGTTGCTGTGCAACGGGAGGGGGAGTCCGCCCTGCAGTCGGGGGCTGGGAGCGCGCGGGGCCCTGCATTTTATCTCGTCCAGTTGAGGGGCAAAGACAGGTACAGAAACAGAGGGCAGTGTGTGTGTGAGACTGGAGGGAGGCGGGAGACTAGTTATTTACTGGGCCAAGCTCAATAAATATCGGTGTGCTGGGTCGTCTCTAGGAAGGGCCAGGCTTTGCTCTGGGCATTGTTTGCAGGAGTCTTGCGGCTTTTTGGGCGGGAGGGCTGCACGCACCTTTGCCCTGGTCTGGGAGAGCTCTCCTGTGCCTGAAAGACATTCAGCTGGGGGATTCGGGGAGAAGTTGATTCTAGGTTTCAGTATAGTCACTGAGAAATAAGAGAGAAAGACAGAAAGTAATGCTTCTGGGAAAGAAATAAAATACCTCAAAAATGAATTCAGCCTTTGCTTCTTTTAGCGGTTTGACCTCCATAACCCTAGCTTCCACTCCAAACCTGGTCCAAATGCCATGTTGAAGTCAAGTCCCAGAGTTACGTTTATTGGCTAAATTTGTGTCTGGGTTGAGCAAGATCATGGAAAACTGAAGGAGGCAGATTCCTTTCCCACCCGCACCCCCTCCTTTTGAAACACTCCTTTGAGAGGCTGGCTGCACTCTGCGCCAACCAAAACGGAGTGGGGAAGAGGAGAGATGTTGCTTTTAACTTGACTTTTCTTACCTCCCCAACCCCCGCCCCTTTCTGCTGTGTCAGCTCGGGCTGGAAGCCTTAGCACAGTTGCCACATTTTCTTTCCATTTTAATGTTCCCCTTCCTAGTTCCTCCCTCCATCTCCCCCTCCCTTTCTCCATCCTCCAATGGCCAAGGCTTCCCCTAAGGGCTTGAGTTTTAAATCAGAGCAGCTGTGAGTTAGTCCCAGGGCTTGGGCTGGATTTGAACAGGCAGGTGGGTTTACAGCTGTAGAGGCAGAATGGGGCTGACCCCAGGAGCCAGAGGTCACCAGGAGCCAGAGGTCACCGGGAGGGTTTCAGCAAAGGGCATGGGAGCAGGAATCCCAGCAGAAGCCTTGGTCCCTTTAATGGGGGAGGGGGGAAGCTAGTGGAAAGAAAAGGTGATTTTTGTCTAAGAATTTTACTTTCTACCTGAGTGATGCCTTTGGAACTTTGAGTTATTTAATGTTTGGAAAATAAAGCTTTAAAGAAGGATCACCATACTCCAGGCCCACTGCATCCAGAAACTGGAAGAATACCATACGGCATCCAGGTACCAAGGAAGAGCTGACCTGGAAGAAGAATGGTTGTGGTGAGAGACCAGGAGGCAGTTTAGAGGGGTTTTGCTTGAGTTTTTGTTTTGCATTTTCACTACAGTTGTTCCAAAAGTTGCAATGCCCAGAGACCATTCCTAAATTGCCATCTGCATAGGTTTTCCAAAACAATGATTTATTCCATACTTGCAAAAGTAAATAAGAAATGAACAAGGAAGCCAGTTCTAAGCTTCTATTATACTTTTCCCTATATCCAGAGAATCCCCCACATTTTATCCAGTTGCATTTCTTTCTATGATTTCTATTATAATGTTCCATATATATCTCCAAAGGAGTGACTGGAAATCTCTATAAGGGATGAGGTGGTCTTTCCTGCCTAGCCACTTGGCTTAGCAGTCTTAATATCTCTCCAGGAATTGCCTGGGTATTGGCCAAAGAATGCGAAAACGGGAAGGACCCCATGTGATCCTTGACGTCAAGGCCCTCATTTTACTGATAGGGATGCTGAGACCCAGAGTGTGGAGTCACTTGCCCAAAATTAGATGCAGGGACTAGAACTCAGAATCAGAACTAGAACTCAGCTCTTCCTTATTGATTTTAGGGCTCCCTTTTGCTATTCCTGGCTTTCTTTACTAGTCACCAGGACTCTTGCCTGGACCCAGGCTAACCTGCAATAAGGCCTTGGGCCAACATCGCCGGATGGTATCATCCCATAATGAGGGTTGTGAAGATAAAATAAGAGCTCAGAACTTGGGGGTGCTCCATTTCAGGGGAAACGAAGTAGCCCAACATGGAGAATGCAGCACCCTTGTTATTTTCAATCACACCCTGTTCCGTCCCTTTTTCCACAGTCTTGCAAACAAGGCTTGCTTAGGCCAGTGGTTTGGTGAGGGATAGGGGGTTAGGAGGGAGGAAAGAGACTTCAGGTCCATGTGCCAAACCTCATTTCCTGAGTGATGGAGATCTCCCGATGCGGACTGGCAGCCAGGCCCTTGCAGCCCCTGGGCTGTGCAGTGGTCTGTGGTCTCTAAGGAGAACC